ATCATAATCATATGGAGTGATGATGCCCAACACACTAATAATATCTTTAAGTGGCTAACCTCACCCAGAATCCTTAGCTAATGAACCCTTCATTGGATGAAACGAATGCCAGCAAATGACCATCAAGCGATGGCTAAAGCAGCTGGAAAAGTTGTTAGCTAAGGTACCAAGAATCAGACACTTCTACGGACTGTCCTGCTTGGAAAATTATACTCAGTTTTAAATAATAAACTAATCTCGAGCAGACTCGAACAAAACAGTAAGTAATTAACATACCTTATCGTAGTAATTAACATAGCTTGCTGGCTTCACCATGCGTTTATCCTTATCCTTGCTCAACTGCATCATGCCATGCACATCTTCCGCACTTCTGTATGCTTCCTGCCACAATTCCATCTGTATGGCCGTGTCCAACTGAATTAGTCGTGTGTCCTGCATTAAGGTTAGCGATTCTGCGCTTGTCAGTTTCACACTGAAATTCACGATTATCGCATTATCACCGTATTTTGATCAGCTTTTGTCTCATGTTCACATCCCTTCTCGATTCTCTACTGCTGCAGCTGGCATTTCATCCCACCCAACCATAACCACACACACAAACATACATACTCACACACACGCACTCACACATACACGGACACACACAGACACATACACACACACACCATAAGTCCTTACATATCACAAGCGGAAAGTTCAATATTGGCATAACTAGTTCTGCAAATCAATTAAACCTTACCAAAATGCAGCTCTTTTTAATGCCCAAAAAGCACAGCGCTTTTTATTAGTACTGAAGCACCGTTGCCAAAAAACCGATGTCGCCTTGACGAGGGCCGTGATGATAACATGCTAATGATATTACCGAGCTGGGATGCACCCACATGTCTTGTTCAACTAACAACGTTTAAAATAGAATGAGCAAAACCTACACATGCGCCAAATGCTGGTGTTTCTGGATCTGCGTGAGATGCAGCCGAAGGTTGTCACATAATTTACGAAATTCCGTACGCCGTTGATATTTGGCGCAAAACTCAAAAGACTGTCGTGCGATGCGATGATACAAGTGCTCAACCTAAACTTTTTCTATTCAAACACCGCAAAACATGCACTGTGAAACAAAAAGTGGGCAAATACTAACCACAGCAGTGTTTCGTAGTAAATCCAGGCAATTGCGATAGGAATCCCAAAGGAAACGTAACCATGGACTTAATACAGTTCGATCCATCCGGTCCTGCGCCGCATCGCCCGATACGGCCGATAGCAACAGACTGTAAATTTAGTACTTTTGGCCAAGATTTGCATATCATATTACATCTTACAAAACCTGTCAAGTGCTGCTGTCGTGAGAGCCGCTGCGCTGAGACAACCCGTTCAGGAAAAGCAACAAAATTTAGGATCTTCAGGAGAGATCGTCCACCAAAGCCATGCATCAGTCGCCAAAGCAATCGGGAAAACTGCCAGCTACACAGCTGAAGGGATGAGATAAAGTGCCAGCAACAAGCCTCGGAAAAGTACTAACTTTTCAGGAGCGTCGGCCTGATCCAAGTCATCGATCTCTTCGACCTTCTCAATCGACGTCTTCTGTGCTTCCTCGGTTTTTTGTTGCGCAAGCTCCAGAAATTTATGGATTACCGTTTCCAGAGATTTAATCGCTACCTGAAAACACTGTGGTAACCGAAACAAACTGGACAGTTCAATGAGCTCTGTGGAATAATGCAGTGGAATGGGACCTGCTGGGTGAGTGTTTTGTACTGGAACAGGGCATCTTTGGCCTTATGCGGCTGCCGTAGCGAAACACACAGCTCCATGTGCTTCAGCATTATTGCTTCGTGCGTTTTTGTCCATTGCTTGTGACGCTTGGACTGCAAAAAAGTGTCGCGCAATTAA